GATTGGTGCGAGCAACATACCACTTTCTGTACGCTAACATAGATGTAATTATTATTTTTTTTGATAAAAAAAATAATAACTCAACAAAGCGTAGCAAAGCAATGATCTCTGACGATCGAAAGTTTAGAACGAACGGAATCCGGTCCAAGATCCGGGCTTGAAAAATGGATAAAACTGCGTTCCTCTGCAATTACAGAATCCACTTGTCCGGTGGCATCCAGTTTGATCTAACATGAAATGAATGTGGTTCTTTGCATTGTCCGTGAAAGGTGTATAACGCACCGATCCCAGCTCACTACCTCAGGGAAGTGCTTGGCTTGTAAAGCCATATTGGGAGTAGTCGTACGATCTTTAAATTTTTCCACCGGAAGACTCAACACAAGATTGAACGCGGCAGGTCACCGCCGGCCGATCGTAATGTACTTACTGTAACACTGTTTGGTAAAAACTGTGAATAAATTTGCAACTGAACAAAGCTAAATTGGATAAGTTTACTACATCAAATTATGCCTAGTGAAAATAAATCAGTTTTCAATCGAGGATAAAATATTTGCGTTGACTTGAGTTAGGCTAGTTCTCTGTATCGCCAATGTGGTGAGAAGAAGTAAATTCAGACATAGCCAACGCGCTCGTCCACATCTGCATGATTGGCTCATTTTCTTGTTTAAACCTGTTCCTACTGACTATAATAATCGCTTGGCTTTGTTTCTATTTGAACCGTCACAAAACTGCTTTACTGTTAACGTCTCCACCAAAGCCTATTGCACATAAAATTAGGACAAAATGACATTCAATCTTAAGGTAAACATTTGTAGGCACTGTTGAATAACAGACCAGAGAAAGTAATCCAGAAAGTTAAAGTCGTCTTGGAAAGTTAAATTCGTGCAAGAAAGTTGAAGTCGTGCCGGAAAGATGAGGTCGTGAAAGAAAACTTGATGAGAAATAAGAGATGTATCTCAACAGATTTCAAGGAAGTGAACAAGATTTGATTGACAAGTGGGAGACTGGTTCAAGTTAGAATCGATAACAAATCGATACTAGCACTGACGATTGAGTTTTATCACTAACGACTGATATGTTAGCAATATTTGATTAGTTCATCTTTGCTTAACAAGCGGGAGACTGATTCAAGTTGAAATCGATAACAAATCGATACTAGCACTAACGATTGAGTTTTATCATCAGCGATAGTTATTTTAGCACTAACGATTGCGTTTTATCACTAACGATTGATATTTTTGGCACAAATGGCCCTCCATACTCAGAGTACCGATAGTAAGAAATACGCAGGCAAGGGTTCATGGGATCATTGACCAAATGCATCGACGCAAACACATTGATGACATGACTAACAAATGGCTTTCACAAACTCCAAATCCGCCTCGCGAAAATACACAAACTTACACCGGTCGGTAGACCTATCATCGCAGTTTGTGACGACCCAACTGCGAGAATGTCATATTTTGTGGAGACACTACTCCAGCCTATTGCGCAATTGCATATATAAGGGATACCACTGCTTTTTTTAATTTCTTAGAAAGAACAAAGATAAGCAAAGATTCTATTGTGGTATCAATAGGCGTTTCTAGCTTAATTGTACACAAATATACCTCCAGAAGAAGGAACGAATATAGTATGCGAAGCATACTAAAAAGTCCCACAACCACATCGCACCGATCCCAACGTACTACCTCAGGGCAATGCTTGGCTTAATCCTTAAAGAAATTCGTTTCAATTCAATGAGGAGAACTTCCTCCAAACATATGGAACCGCTATGGGTACGAAAATGGTAGTATCACGATCGTTTATTTCCTTTTGTCACAACGTACCACCCGGCATTTAAAAATTGAAAACAAATACTGGTGGGGCATCGGGGTCTGATACACAGTTAGCTCTTGTTTACAAAACCTCCGATCATCTCTTACAAAAAGGGAAAATCCCTTGTGAGGGCAAAAACATAATTAGAAGGCGATAATGCGACGCGACCACAAAAGCCACATGGGGAGGTCGAGACCTCCGCCGTTTCAGAGCATGCCCACAACACCGGACACAAGCCAGTCTGGAACGAAGTAAAGTTTATTGATCGTGACCCATATTACTACACGCGCAGGGCCAAAGAGGCAATTCAAATAAGACTTCACCCTAACAACATCAACAGGGATAGTGGAATAGAAATTCCAGAAGCGTGGATGCCCACGATCAAAAAACACAACAACAGGAGAGCCGTGCGACAGCGGACCGCCGAGGGAGCAAATCATTGATCAGCAAGGATCGAAATGCACCAATCAGAGCTGTTGAAAAACAACTAATCACAGCAGAGCATCATGCTTTATAAGATCACGCATGACCAGTCGACCTCATCGCCTGAAGAAGACTAGCAGTATGCAGTCGAAACGTCGCGATCTACATCACACGTGACTACATCGTGAGACAAACGAAAAACTTAGCTTTTATAGAACAATAGTGTTCACACTGCAGTATTCTTTGAAAAAGCAGATTACAAACTTGCAAGAATTTAGGATGGGGCTCCTAAAACTTGATAATTTCAATTCTATAATACATATTTTCAAATCATGAAATCCGCTGTAACTTATCATGAGCACTAAAACTGAAAAAGAAAGGAAATGTTTAACTAAGACAGAATTTCTCCTTACAATATCAATACAATATCAAGCAGATAACTAATGAGAATAAAGAAAAATATCAATTTGGGTATAATTAATTGATCCAATGCTAAATTCTCTGAATTAACATATAAGTTAACAGTAAGAAGAATTACAAATTTGATCTGGGAGTTAAAGGGTTAACACAGTGAAAAGACAGGTCAGAACATTCAGCACATAAATGGTATGCTGAGGTTTATTAATTCCTAACTGTAGTTACCAGGAGTAGAGTTTTATGCACTGAAGACAAACTTGAGCACTTGCTAAAGCATCTTTTGCAAGTTTAGCCAGTCATTGTAACATCTCTGAAAGTATTTTGGGAATAGTAATCTCCAGTAACTTTTTTGCATGTGTTTGAAAATGTTCCTGATAACTGGTCGGGAATAAGATAAATTCATGAATCACTTGCAATAGCATCTGCTCTTGTGCATATAATAATAAAAACTGTTAAAATATCTGGGGATTTCAAATCACAATTTAAATGAACCCAAGGAGACCTGCAGTGAAATCAACAGCCATACACCCTGTCAAAAAATTACATACTGGCTAAATGATAAATTCCAAGGAGTTAAATCAAATTCTATTATTTTGTATTTGTTTTGCAAGCCTTCAGGACAATTATTATCATTATAGTGTAAACAAGTTCAACTCCTTAGCATTTCCAAAACTGAATGATAATTAGCTGTTTTCAGAGTCTAGTGGATGGGAATTTTTAACAATGCATGAATACAGTTATCAATCAATCAAACAATCATTAGAGTTTGCATCCATGTATTCACTTAATTTCCTCTTTCAGTTTACTGAGTAAAGAAGCTCTTCATCTTTTACACCAGCCTTTAAATTATCCAGTGAAGTCCAACAGTGTAGTTGTTGAACATTGGTTGTCAAATATGCAATATGAGGGGTAATAATTACATTTGACATGTTTAATAGTGGGTGGTCCCTAGGAAGAACTGGTGGGTCTGTGACATCTAATGCTGCAGCTTTTATAACACCCTTCTGTAATGCCACAGTAAGATCGTCATGATTGACAGTTCCTCCACGACCTACATTAATAAGTGTTGCTGTAGACTTCATAATACTAAGTTCCTCTGCCGAAATGAAATTGGTTGTTTCAGACGTCAATGGTAAGCTCAGAACAACAAAGTCAGACTCTGTCAAGAGTTCCTTTAATTCCAAACAGAATGTAGCACCTGAATTTTATGGAGGAAAGAAACAAAAATAGGTGAGAAATACCATAGTGTACCCATCTTGTGATGATGTTCCTCAATTGGGGTTTATGACAATATGTAGGTTCAATTGAGGCCTGTAACTACATACAGCCTCTATCTCCATTATAAGACATGGAATAAGAAGCCAAAAAAATAACAATTCAGGCTTACATTGTACATGAGGTTTAAACCCAACTTACAATTACAGAAACCGTAACTTATTCTCACAAAAATTCAGATTTAAGTAAAAAAAAGAAGTTTAGGGATGTGGCCATTTCTTTCTCAAGGACCCTTCCCACTGTCTTTCAGTTTAATTCACTCACCCACTTCATAAATCATAAACATTTATGGTTACCAATTATCCTGAAACAAGTGGGGGAGGGGGGGGTATCTTATGGGATCAAACATTACCTCTTAGATATAAAAAGGGGACTGATTTGAGACAATCCTTTTAAGGAATATCACCATTGAGCCCTCACAGCCACAATTGTGTGAACTTGGCTTAGTTTAAGTTGTTGTAGACTATTAGAGAGTACAAAGTTACTCTGAAAATCACCTTGATCCGCATCAATTGTTACCTGAATATATTTCCAGCTCTTCTTTCCTCGTCCGACAATGATATAAAATGTTCATTTTGAATCCTTTAGCTCTCTCAGCAATTGCTCTTCCAATGTTCCCAAAACCAACAAGGCCAAGAGTTGAACCAGTCACTTGTGATGGGGGTATTGAGCAAGAAATATTCTAGTAAAATAAAGTTAGCCTCTCATCAATTATTCTAGTGTAATACTTAGGGATCAATTTAATACCAAATAGCCGAAATTACCTTATAGACTGCTGTTTATGTAACAGACACTCAAAAACTCAATGATTTCATTAAAGTTAAACTCCTCCCCCCCAACCAAAATGGGCTAACTCACTGACACTAGATTAGACTTCAAACAAAAAATGCCACACAAGTTATTTAGCTGTGTATCATATATCTGTTTCAGGAGACTCGTGATTCTACATCAATCTGCTCTTCAAATACTAGTCCCACCACATTAGTGTCAACAAGAATGACCATTCATTGGTACATGCAAACTGGACAATTTCAAGTGCTTGACTTATAAATACACCCAATTTAAATTATTCCTCTTCATCTGTGCATTTTGGGAAAAATTACATCAATCAATACAATTTTGAAAATTGTCCAGAAATTTCTGTCAACCCTCAGAAGTCTTTCAGAAATTTCTGTAAGCCGTCAGAGTCTTTTTGAGATGGAGGATACAATCTTACCGCTGATTGTGCTGCATCAGATGACTTTGCTATTTCATTTGCAAGTAAAATTGACCTCGCAGATGCCAACAGCAAACCGAAAGCAAACTCTGCAACGGAATCGCTCGTAAAATGGCCTGGAACATAACCTACACGAATTCCACGTGCAGTAGCTTCCTCTACATCAATGTGATCCACACCTGCGCTTGAAGTACTGATCACTTTTAAATTCGGCAGCAGGTCCATAATTTCTCTGTTCACTCTCATTTTTGAATGTTTAAACTTACTGCATAGTAGTCCTTTCACATTTTCCCGCTTGTTTTGGCTCAAATCAGCAAGTTTCACTCCATGGATGAGAATAAAGTTGTCCTTAAACGAACGCTCGGCGAGTTCTAACATCATAGTCGATGGAGAAGTTAAGGGAACCCAACACCACACAAGTGGATGTGAAGACATTGTAAAAGATTTCCAAAGATAGTAAACACCAGCCCGCACTGTGATTATATTATAAAGTGATATGAAAGGGCTCCATTTACGTAAAATATGTTAAAAATTACACCCCCTCTGCAGGTTATAACTTATGACTAAAGGTCTGGTCTCCAATAAGTATGTGTGACACCAGGTGAGTCTGATCCGTGACAAAAAACAAAAACATAGGCTTGCTGTGCATGCAAGAGTTATTTTTTATAAAATAATTCAAATAGTACGCGTGCTCTGATTGGCCATAAAACTATTTTACATGAGCGTATGTAAACACAGTTTTCGTTCCTCTTTCATTAGTCATTTTATAAAAGAAATGTAAAATGGTTTCCGTGTTTATATAGCCTGATGTACATCGCCAGAAATCAAGGACATTTCGAGCCCGCTAACAATTATCAGCGGTATATCGTATTACACTCCGGGATCACGAGAATTCAATATGCCGGCGATCACGGCCCGATCTGCAAAGAAGAGTGTTTCGTACCACGACTTATACAATTTGAGCACCGCA